GAAGGATTCTGGCATTTGCGCCTTTTCGGCTCTCCGACGGCTCGAGACGGCCCAAGAAGCCCCCAAGATCGCCCAAGAGGCCCCCAAGAGAGCCCCATGATGGCCCAAGTGGCCTCCAAGATGGCCCCTAGAGGGCCCCAAGAGGGCCCAAGAGGCCTCCAACACGCCCAAGATGGCCTCCCAGACGCCCAAGATGGCCTCCAAGACGGCCCTGGAGCATTCCAAGCGGGCCCCAAGTCGGCACATAGAGGCCCCCCAAACGGCTTCCGACGGCTTCAGACGTGCCAGGAACCCACCAAGATGGCCGAAGTTGGCTCGAAGCTGGCCCGAGACGGCCCAAAAAGCCCCAAAGATCGCCCAAAGCTTGCCCAAGAGGCCTCCAAGACGGCCAAGATGACCTTCAAGATGCCCACGTGTTCCCCGAAGGCTTTCCAAACCGATTCGGGGAACACGTGGTCCGATAGCTTGGCAGGTCTGGCCTCAACGTTTGGCCACATAGGCGCTTCCAAAAAGGCAGGGGGCGGCGGTGATTCGCCGTAGGCGTCTTCGATATGTAGACGGTGAGGTCGATAGGTAGGTAGTGAGGTAGGTCTAGAGGTGGATATCGAAACACAATACGTATAGAAACACATATACATGGTTATAAGGGTGGTTGTCCAGATGATTGTCCCGATGGTTGTCCAAATGCCTGTCCCGATCCCTATAGTAGTAGAACCGATGGTGTACAGATATACAGACATACATACATACATACATACATACATACATACATGCATGCATGCATGCATGCATGCATACATACATACATACATACATAATACATACATACATACATACATACATGTTGTTTGCGAGTGAGATCGGTGGATGGATAGATGGATGGATGATGAGACAGATGTTTACATCCACCAACACTTCGGCGAGTGCGAGAGACTTTGCCCTCGTCATTGTCGTCGTCGTCGTCGTCGTCGTCGTCGGTGGTCCCAAGGACACTGAGCAAAAATCACACGAAACGTCGTAGGTGAATCGATTCCCTCCCCATTTCCTCCCTGACAGGGGGGGGAACTGGGTCAGAACAACGCCCCTGCACGGCGTCCCGGCGGGTCCCGCGGGGGTTCCCGGGGGGGTCGCCAGCGGGGGTCTTCGGGTATGTCCCGCCTTCAGGGTCGGCGGCACCGGCCGGAATGCCCTCGCAGTATGTTGACAACTGGATCGGTAGTGGTACCGAAGTAGAGAGAGTGGGATCGAATGGTGGATAGTGCGATGTATAGTTTGATAGAAATGCCCAATCCTATACATATATATATATAGGTGTATATATAGATATACGGATGCAGATGTTATGCATGTTTGGCGAATCGTATACATTATGCATGCTTGGCGAACTGAATACATATAATGTGCATGTGCAAAGATATCCATGATATCGATCTACATACGAATAAACTTGTAGCGATACGGTAAGACATGTAGACAGATGGAGGCTGTTCGATTAATCGAAGCGGTTGTCGCGATGGTTGTCCCGCTGTTGGTTCCACCACCCCCAAACCTCCTTATCGGCCTTTTAAGGTATGGCATGGTCTTACCTCCCTAACGGCCAGTCTTATGGTTATGGTTACATTTAGGCCCCAGGGTGGCAAACTATATCCATTTCGGAAAATCGATCGTCTCTGCGGTTGAACTGACTCTCGCCTGGGAGAGCCACCGGAGAACAACGCACGCTGCACGTCGCCAACGTCTCGCGACGCCAGGAGGCACGCCCGAATAGCTGCCAGAAGCGGATCAGTCGCCCTGCTCGCGGCACCCGCGGCCCACACGCGCAGCAGTAGGGGGGAACAGACTGCGGAATAGCTCCCACGAGTGAACGCCAGAGCCCGACCTCACCGAAGTCTCTCCCCCATCCCAGGCCATCGATAACATCGTTTCTCAATGCGCAGGCCCGTGAGCTCTCGACCCCTTCCTGGGGACAGGTGTTTCGAGACGCATTGTCCCTTGACGGCCCAAGCTCCGTCTGCATATGCCTGGCTCTGGAAACTCTGAGCCCCAAGAAGTTGTCATCTCTCAGGGGCCCATTTTGTACTTCGGCCGAATTCCGACGGTCTTCCGCCAGCGGAGGTGGCCTCGCTTTACTCCTGCTGCATTCGGCTGACCTTCCGCCGCCTTCCGCCGAGGGAAAGGTGCCAAGTATCTGGATCCCCAAGAGCGAAGCCGTTTCTGGAACGCCTCATGTTTCGGGAAATTGGACGTCCAGGAACTTTGAAGGGGCCCTGGGACACACAAATTACTAGACACACAGATCAGGATTCCCCATATTCTCTCATACTTTCTGGGTCTTCCCCCCCACTTCCCATATTCTCCCATGTGTTCCTGGGGATCGACGATTAATGGTGTCTGTGAGTTTTTTCCCCTCCTGAAAATTGGATGGCCGGGAACTCGCAGGATCCGGATCCGTGCCGCGGGTCTCGCGGGCGGCAGTGGCGCCCGCCTCTGGCGGCCCCACGAAGCGACGCCCACGCGAGAGGCGACCATTGCCGAAGAGATGGGCAGGGGACGTCGCAGCACCACAGCTGGCCAGGGAGGAAGAGGAAGAGGCAGAACATGATGAATGGGGCCCCAGGACACACAACTAAATACACACAAATAAAAAGATGCCCCATATGTTCCCGATGTTTTCGGGGTGTCTGTCTTCCCCCCCACTGCCCATAGTTTGCCATATTTTCTGGGGAATCGACGATGAATTGTGTCGGTGTGTTTTTTCCCCTCCTGACAGGAGCAAGGGCGACGACCAGAGGGCAACGGCTCGGCAAAACGACGACTTGCGCTCGCGTTCGAGAGCGGCCCTGGACTCCTCCCCGAAGCAGCTCTCCGGTGCACCTCTGTCGGCCGGTGGCAGAACTGGGCTTAGTGGAGTCTGGTTTAGTGATCTGTACACCCTGCGAAATGCGTAAGATATCATTGGTTAAGAAATTCATAGTCTCAGAATCTGAATAAAAACCCAGAGTGTCTATTGAAATCTTAGGATTTACATTGAAACATTAAGAATACTCGAGACTCTGGCCGAAAACTTGGGTTTTCTTAAGCATCGCCTAGGGTGTATCGGGGGCGCCCCCCCGTCCGGAAAATTTCCACTATCCGGAACTGCCGTCACCCGAAAAAACACCAGCTATGGCAAGCCTGGTTTAGTGATCCTGGCCAATTCGAAGGCTCCGGGGCCCTACCACTAACTGGGTCCCCTTCCCCTTACCCGGGGACCTGGCCATACCCGACTCTGGAGGCGCGGGCGAAGACGAACCGAACAAGACGGCAGCAGTTCGGCGGATCCTCTGCCCAGACCTGCCCAGCAGCTGCGGATATCCCCAGGAGGCCCTGGGCCGCGGGCTAGCCCATTTTAAATGGGGCCCTGGGACACACAAAGAAATACACACAAATACCAAGATTCCCCCTATAGTTCCCAATATTTTCGGGGCTTTTGTCTTCCCCCCCACTGCCCATATCTTCCCATAGTTTCCCAGGAATCGACGATGAATTGTGTCTGAGTGTTTCTGTTCCCTCCTGCCCATTTCTGGCCTGGAAGCCACGACGCGGCGAGGAGCAGCAGCCGGGGCGCGACTGGGGCTGACTTTGCGCACCGGCCCTGCAGAGAGAGGAGAGGGGGGCAGCGGCGGGGACGGAGGTCGTCAGGGGGGAGGGAGGAGCGTCCGGCATGCCACGCGAGGTGCTCTGAGCAGGGGCCGACCGTCCAAGCCTTCCGATAGTCCTACCACGAAGGGTTTTTAGAACCCAAAGGTGTTCTAAGAGCAAAAACGAGGCTCTTAGAACATAAGCCTCGTGCGCTCAAACGAGACAGTCCCAACCAGAAATGTTCTAGGAACACCTCGTGGAAACCACAAAAAAGGCTCTCAGGACATTGTTTTGTGAGGCTATAGGCGAGCCAGGACGCTTCGGCACTGCTTGAGTGGTGGCAGCCTCGGGCTCCTGAAGGCGCCGTTCGAAACGGCTGCTTCAAGTCGCGGCAGACGGGGGACTTCACACGGAAGCCTGAAGGAATGGCACCCGTGCTGCAGACGGCCCCAAGCCGCTTCACGCAGCCAACGATGGACGGCCACGATGGGCCACCGATTTCGACAGCCCGGCATCTTTCACTGGGGCTATGTGAACCCTGCTTTCCTACGGAGCCGTAGGATCATCGCTTGCACTTTTTCAGCTTTCCAACAGCCCCATTCTCCTCCTCCCCTCCTCTCCCTCCTCCTCCTCCTTCTCCTCCTCCTTTTCCTCCTCCTCCTCCTCCTCCTCCTCCTCCTCCGTTCCGAGCAGTACGTAAAACCCTTGAAAAGAGAAACAAGCATGGGAGGATCTGAAGAGAAAAGGGGTCCTGAGGCAACGGGGTCCTGGACCCTGGAGCCTTTCTCCCAGGACCAACCTCCCGTCGTCCTGGACTCTTCTGCTGACGGTCCCAGGGCCCGGAGAGGGCCCCAGGGCACCGAAAACACGCAACCACTCTGGGCCGGCCGCTGCCCTCAACTACATTCGAAAACCAGGAGAGTCACAAACAGAAGCTGTCGGAGCTCCGCCACGTTTCTTGGCCCGGGGCTGCACCCCCTTCCCTGGCGCGCGGAGGCGCCGCTGCGGGGGGGGGGGGGGAAGAGCGTATCCGAGAAATCCGCGCGGAACTTCGACAGTTTAAGCTTGTGCAGTATTGTTATTATTGTTCGATCTCCTCGTGACGAGGAGCCGCTTGCTTCATGGCAAAACTGGTGAGTCTGAGTGTGAGTGAGTCTTGAGTGTGAGTGAGCCTGAGTGTGAGGAGTGAATATGAGTATGAGTGAGTCTGGGCATGAATGGGCCTGAGCGAGGGCGAGAAGACGGCGGGAGGAGAGGAAGTGAGTCGGGGACGTCTGAATAATAACAAGAATCATATGCAATCTATGTGGAAGAGAGACCTCATGTCCCGCTTCCCTTGTGGCGAGGACAAATTTGCTTCATGGCGAAAGGGGAGGGTCCTGCCCCGGTTTCCAGCAGCCTCGCGAATGCCGGCAGCAAGAAGGCCAAGGTCTTGCCAGACCCCGTCTTGGCGATCCCGATCAGGTCGCGCCTGCCGAGGACTTCTCCCGCGTCCCCTCCTCCCTCGTTCTTCCGCTCCTCCTGCTCCTGCGTGACTATTCCCCCTCCATCCTCCAACCTCCCCGCCTACCCTCCCTCTGTCCCTCTCTCCTCTCCAATGTTTATCCTTTTCCATCACTCCCTCCAACCCTCCCCTGCCCTTCTCACTCTCCCATCCTCTCCTGATCCTCCCTCCTAGCTCCTGCTCCTTCCCCCTCCTCGTTTCTAGTTGCGTTTGTTCCACGTCGTCCCCTCCCTCCCATTTCTCCCTTTCCCCGTCGGCGGGGGTGGCGTGGGCGCTTCCGAACAGAAGGGAGACGAGGAGGGAAATAATATGGATTGGGGTGAGACAAGCGGAAGGGAGGTGAGGCAAGGAGCGAGAAGGGAATCATTGAAGAAGGAAAGACGGAGGAACCCCTGCTCTCATCTGTGTCCTCCCCTGCCTGACAATCACCTAGACCAACTCACCTCTCCGTTCAGGTTCCCCCTCCATGTCCCCCAGCCATCGCTGAATACCTCGAGCACACGCTCTCCCTTCCCTATCCTCTATAGCTCTCGGCAGTGCCCCCCTTCATATGTGCAGCTGAGGTTATAACTGATACCATCACCATCAACATCATACCACCACGCATTGTCATCATAATAGCAATCATATTCAACGCAAGCACCACCACCATCCCGACATTATCATCACCATCAACATCATCATCACCAACATTATCATCAGCAACATCAGCTTTACCCAAATCGTGACCATCATCACCGTTATCATAACCATCGGCACCATCAACTTCATGAGCATCCCCGTCATCAACAGCATCAAGATCATCAGCATCATCATCATCATCATCAGCATCATCAACATCCTCATCCTCAGCATTATCACCATCATCCCCGTCCCCATCCCAAGCATCGCCACCATCATCAACATCATTAACATCATCAACAGCATACACAACATCATCATTATCCTTAACATCATCATAAGCCACAACATCATCAACATCATCATCAGCATCATCACCACCGTCATCATCATCAACATCATACTCATCATCATCATCATCATCAGCATCATCATCATCACCATCAACATCCTCAACATCAACATTAACACCGCCATCATCGTCATATCATCTTCACCACCATCACCGACACCACCACCACCACCACCACCACCACCACCACCGTCATCGTCACCATCTCCGTCGCCATCGCCCTCGCCGTCACCGTTACCATCATCGCCATCATTGTCATAATGAGCAGCACGAGCCTCGTCAACACCACCATGACTCAAAATCATGGTATTCAACCTCCCAACCATGTTGGATTATCTGTCTCGAGCAGCATCGGAAGCCGAAGGAGGCCCCCCCCAATGTCCAGAGGCTGCGTCCCACGCACTCAGCGGGAACATGACGTGGACAACGACGGGGAAGGAGAACGAGGGAGGATCCCAGGATTCTCGATTGGGCACGCGCGCGCGTCCGGAGGACGAGGGAGGGACGCGAGGGCGTCAGGAGGAGGAGGAGGAGGAGGAGGAGAGGATCGGGGAGGAGGTGAGGGAGGGAGGGGGGAGAGGGGGGAGAGGGAGGGAGAAGGAAAAGAAAAGGGAGGTGTTAGGGCGAAGGATGGAGGAAAGGGGGCGTTGCAGGGACAGGGAGATAAACAAGGAAAAGAAACGCACAGCCTGCGGCAAAACACCTCATTTGGCTCATCACCTGGAAGCCCCCTCCTTTGCTTTGATACGCTCGGCGAACGCGCGGAACCGATCGTTGTCGACAGCGCGCCTTGTCTGCCACGCTCGGGTTTGCGGTGGCCAAAGACACGTTCTTGGGCGGCGCCCAGGCAAATCAAACAGCATCATCACGAACACGACTACTCCTGTCCTCAGGGTGGGGGCCATGTCGGAGTTTCCCCAAGGCACTTGCACTTGATGTTCCAAATTTCCGAAAACAAACCTGGCCGAGCAAATAACACCGACGACTGGCGCATGCACCCCATCGAGCGCAACAAAACCACTTCGGGTCCTGCTCAAAACAGAACAGCGTCCACTTTCCGATTCGGCACCGTCGAAACGCCGCGGTGACGTGGAGAAACCGGAACAACCACTCATCGGGCTGGCCTCGTTGCCGAAAGAAACCATTGCACCTCGGCCGCATCGACAAACATTACCCCCTGGTTGCTTGTCCCAATCATGCCACTCAGGTGGGTGTGGACCTTCGGGAAGGGCGGCATGGCTGCAGTCCCGCACGGAACTCAACTTAGAGAAGAGCGGCGGAACAGTTCCGAGCATCTTCGCGCAAGAAAGGACCAGCTTCACACGCTGATCGAACTCCCTTATGTCAGTGGGTAAAGTCTGGTGATACAACGCGAATGCGCGCTTGGTCAGGCGATCGGCGCCCTGGCTCCCGGGCGCGATGCGCCTCTCGGCAGGAAGCAAGACATCGCATAACTCATGTAATATAACCGGTCGACACGCGCAAGCTAAGCTTACCTGCAGCGCCATCGCCTGGCGCTTGTGAGCTGGCCTACTCATGCCCGCAAACATCTGCTCCGGCCCCAGCTGGGCCGCATCGGACTCACTTTGCGAACGGACGGCACCCTTGCAATCCCTGCAAGCGGTTTATTGGCCAGACGCGAAAGCACAAACAATAAAAATACCGACGTGCTCAACAACCTGCAGGTTCCGTTGCATTTCTGGCCACGTTGGTGCTGCGAGGCGGACGCGCACCGGGTTCCCCACGCGGCGCCAGCCGCGCTGGGTTGCCGAGCCGCCCAAAACAGAATCTAAACTTTCGCCGCGCTCCACAAACTCTTGGGAAGATCAAAGCTGGCCATTGCCGCCTTGGAAGATTGGGCTCGTCGCGCCCGAGGCGGGGAGACGCAGCTCGGGACCAGACTGGGCCATCGCCAAACGTGGCCAGAAGAGACGTTCCGACGGGTCGCTCGCTCGGGCGGCCTCTGCGACGTCATCTAGGAGGAGTCGGCTTGCGGGGGGGTCGGGCGCGCGGGAGGCGGGCGGAAGCGTCGCCGGCGCCCCGCGCCCCCGGGGGGCTCCTTGTAAGATTTCCCAGGCTGCGCCAAGCGCGCGCGCGCGTTACTTGCCCGCGCGCTCGCATTCGCGCGAGCGCATCCTAAGAAACTATGATTTGGATCGGAACCGGGCGACAACGGGCATGGGGCGCCTGTCAAGGCTGCTTCTGGGAGCGATTGCTGCTGGCTCGACACGCGCGATATGCATGTAACGACTTTTGGAGGACGGGCGCTGCACCGCCCAATCCAACGCGTGAGTGGCGCGGTCCGGGGCGCGCGGCCGTCGCGGCGCACGGCGGTCGACGTGGCCGCATGGGCCGCGCGATCGGCCGCGCGGCATTTGCGGGCCATTCGGCCGACGCTGCCGGGTCGCCCTCAAACAGCCCGCCAGGAATACGCAAATGCGCAATGCGCCGCAGCGCCGCCAGGATATCGCCCTGCAAACAACTTGTTCACTCTGAACGCCGACTGCGCGCCTCGCTGAACCAGCGAAGTCGAGCGGCGCGCCCGCGCCGCGGACCCGCCGCAATGATCTCGCGGGAAAAAGGCCTCTCTCCATTGTTTCTGGCACCGATTCTGGCCTACTTCCCCGTTCTGGCCGATTCTGGTTCCATCGCCGATTCCTCCTTTGATTCCGTATTGATTCCGCACTGATTCGTTTGATTCCGCTAGAGTCAGGGGTCGCAGTTGCGCCGATTCTGTTTTGATTCTGCACTGATTCCGTGCTGATTCCATTGATTCCCCTGTGCCCCTGGGACCATCAGGCCGCGGCCCGAGCCCCCGCCTCGGCGGCGTGTTTTTTCCAGGAGCGCGGAAGAGTTTTGAGGGGGGGGGGGGCGGGGGAGGAGGCGGGGCGATTTTTGGGGCGCATCGGGCGGCCGAGCCACAGATTTCCGGGCCCAGTGCGCACGCCCAACATGGCAGGCGCGGGCGCGCGCGCGCGAGTTCTCGACCGTCGGCGCATCTGTAAGTTCATGCCCCGCCCCGCGCGCGGGAATGGAAACTTGCGTTGCGGTTTCCCATTGAACGCGCGGCCGCCGCCCCCCATGCTGCTCAGCGCGCAAAGCGCGCGAGCAGCATGGGGGGCTTTGCGTTCTCGCATGAGAAGTGCGCGGAACCGAACCGAACGGTCGGCGGCGCCCGCTCCTGCGCCGCGCGCGAGGCCATCGCGTCAGCGCGGGAGGCTACAAGGGCCTGGGCCGTCGCCCTGGGGCGCGGGCACAGCGCGAGGCCCGCGCGGGTCTCTCGCGCCAAACATGCGCAACAAGGTCGGCCCGCCCGCCAGCTGGCGCTCGCGGGCGACGCGACGCCGGCGCCGACTGCGAGGCCGACTGGGCCCGGAGGATTCCCGAGAGTCCCGGGAAGGGGAAGCGGGCCGCGATGGAATCGGCGCGGTCGTTGGCGCCCCCCCGCGCCCGCCCCCCCCTGCAAGCCGACTCCTCCTAACGTCATCTGAGGAGGGCCTCGGAGCGGGCCGCCGCCGCCCCCGGTCCCCGGGAGGGCCATTTGCGGCGGGCGAGCGAATCGGACACGCCACAGCGGGGGCACTTGCCATCAAACGCACATCGCGACTCCTGACGGCGATCCGCCGCCAGGCAGACCGCTGGGAAAAACTGGCGCACGCGCGGCGCCTGGTTCGCGGGTGGGTTCGCATCGAATGGGGGGGGGCGCGGAAAGAGCCGATCGAATCGCGCTCGCCGCCGAAGGCGAGGGTCGTCGGCGCATGGCGGCCTCTCCCACTGGATCTCTGAACGCCAGACTGCAACCCACGGCATGGGACGTGCGCGCGAAATCAATGGCGCGCCCTGCGTCGGTTTGACTGGAGTGAAAAAAAAAGCCACTCAGCCCCATCGTGCGCAGACTTGAACGCAGACGATGCCCAGGGGGGGCCCGTGGACCCTAGACATGCGCCGCTGCTTGGAGCTGAGGCCGCAATCGTCCTGCAGGGCCACCAAACACCTCCAATTCCTGATGCGACTCCAAAACTCTGGGGCTCTTCGCCACCGTCGCCGGACAACTCCGAGAACTTGCAGCCAACTGTCTAGCGGGAGCCGTCGCAAGAATACACTGCAGAGATCGGTGAGTTCCGCGTCAGACATTTCCAGAATCATTCGACCACGTCTTGCAGCCGGTCGAACCCTGAGACATCCATCTCGCCCATCCGAGAAGGACCCGAGGATGCGTTTGCAGGTCAATGTGCCCGCGCTTCATGCTCCTGAATCGGTCCTTAGCCCCTGCTTCCTTGCCCCACCCTGTCCTGGCGCCGCGTCGCCGCCGCGGGAGGCGGCGGAGTTGCTCGCGAAGGAGGAGCAGAGGCGGGCAAACATCTCGGCCGGTCGCTGGGTGGATGGAGACGTCGTGCCTTTTGTCGACTGATGAATGCACATCGAGACGCCCATCACATGGCCTCTTCAACTCAGCAGCTGCAAAGTAGAGCGCGCAAGCCACGAGGCGTTCCCGACGCGACATGGATGCAGCATCTCGACGATGTAGGATCGCAAGGAGGGGCCGCGGCATGCGAGCGCAGGGTTCACAGAACTCGGACACGGAATTGACTTTTACAACGACATGGTTGCTGATCTTTCCTGCTGGTAATCCTGACTCAGCAAGTGTGTGTGTGTGTGTGTGCGTGTGTGTGTGTGTGCGCGTGTGTGTGTGTGTGTGTGTGCGTGTGTGTGTGTGTGCGTGTGTGTGTGTGTGTGTGTGTGCGTGTGTGTGTGCGTGTGTGTGTGTGTGTGTGTGTATGTGCGTGTGTGTGCTGGGGGGTGGGGTGGGGATGGGGTGGGGGCGTGGGGCGGGGGCGTGCGTGTGCGGGGGGGGGGGGGGGGGGGCGGCGCTATGCTGGGCACAGGGTCGCGAGGCCCTCGGGCATCTCCAGGGGCTGCAGAGAGGGTCTTGGCGAGCGCCTTCGGGGCGCCACGACAACTCAGCGAGCCCCCTGAGTTTGCCCAGACAAGCGCAGCATATGAAACAGACGAAACAACATATAAATCCAGCTGCGACATCCCCGCCACTAGCCGCCTCCTCAGCGGAGAGACTTGGCTTCCAGACCGCGGCATCTGTGGGCTACCCCGCCCCGAATGACCTGCGCGGCTTGCGGGCCCTCTCGAAAACCTATGTCATCTTCGGGGCGGCGTTGTTCCCCGGTTCGCCCCGGGGCCACGGGCGGCAGAGCCGGCCCGAGACCGCCTTCGGGCTTCCCCGGGGGCGGCAGGGGCATCGGCAGAAGTTGCGAAGGAAACCCGGCCAGGCGCCCCATGGCTTCGAAGCAGAGGGCCATCACCTCCAAGGCTGCGTCGCCCAGGAAGCCCAATGGTCGAACGCGCAGCGAATCTAGAGACTGAGCCGCGCGCTGGCTGACAGAGCGAGACGCCGCGCGAACCTGCTGCGGACCACATTTTCCAGCTAACGCCCATCCGGAATCTTTGCCTCGAGCGAGACTAGGGCGGCCTTCCAGGAACGTCCGAACGCGGTCGTTCTGGCCCCCAGGAGCTCGACGGGGCGGGGGGAGCCCGCTCCGCGGCGGGCTGCCATCGTCTCTGGAGCTCGGCGAGCCCGCGCACGCAACTGGAGGGCCCACCCCCGGGGCCCGCCGTTGCCACTCGCCCCGCGACAGCCTCTGGGGCCCCGCCCCTCCCCCCTCGAGCCATTGACGCGCGCGAGATCGGCGAACGTGCATTCCAAAAGAAACTCCGATCTGGCGCGCCACGCCTGGGCCCGACGGGTGCTCAGATATGCATTCCGAGGCAACGCCCCGAATTCCCCGGGGAAGCGCGCCCGGCCCGACATCGAAACCTGCCCCGCAGGACAGATATATGTGGCCATCGCCATCCGCGAGATCCGGGGCGGAATGGGGAGGCCCTGCGAATGCGCGAAGCAGCCAAGGCCCCCCACAGCTCCACCTTGGAATTGGCGATCAGCAACCTCCGCTCAATAGAAGATGGGGGCCCGAGATGCTTCGATCGCGCAGCGTCGCTGCCCCGGGGGCCCCCTTCGAGCCCCGGCCGGATGGGGCGCCCTGGGGCGGTGCCCGATCTAGCGGCGTTCGTCGCTGCTCTTGCGCAACATTGTCCGGCGAAGGAGGCGCGGGCTAGCCTGGGCACTGCGCGGTCGACTTCGCTGACTGCGCTGAACTGGAGTTGGCGCGCTTCCGCGGGGGAGAAGCTCGAGGAACGAAGAGGGGGGGCGATAGGCGGCGAAGGGGCGTCCGAAGGCATGCCTTGGAGACGTCGGTGGACCAGCTGCTTCGGTAGACCAGCTGCATGACGCGCAACGCGCTGGGTCGAGTCACCAGGCTGACCAAATGGCGGGGGGGGTCCAAACTGGAGCCTGCCGCGGGCCCGTGGGCCAGACGAGCAGCGCCAGGGCCCAGAACGCGAGCAATCGATGACTGCGCTCGAGAGAGGAGACCCACGCGTCGGCATCGCGGGCGCCATCGTGAAGACACCGATCTCATGATCGAAACCAGCAGTCTTAGGGACCTCGGGATCACGGTCAAGTCGCCAGCCACAACGGCGCGCCTGGTCCGAAACCGACAGGACCACAACGGCTGAGCAGGCCCATGCTGGCGGGCCCCAAACTTTGAGCTGGCTGTCAAGTATCGAATCGAACCAAAGACCTGGCAGCCGAGCGAAGGTCGTCAAAACCTCGAGGCCGCGATGGGAAGCCACTGGGGCGTTACCTGTGGGAGGCCGTCGGGCCCTTATGGTGAGACGAGACGCCCAAAGATAGCCGCGCCCAACGACAATTTGCCCGTATCAGGACTGACATGGCTAGACATGGACAGCGCGCGCCATCCGAGACGGCGCGATCGATCAGTAGGACGTCTATCAAAATAAGGGCTCGTGCTGGCCAACGGCGCGCGCGAGAGAATGGCTCAACTCACGCGCAAGCGTCGCTTGAGCGCTGTCCAGCACGAGCCTTTGAAATTCCCGGAGCAACATTGACGTTCAGTGCTTGACCTGGCGGGCGCTCCCTTCAGAGGTAGAACGGGGGCGCCTGTGCAGGAGAGACGAATCCCACAACACTTGGGGCATAACGATTGAACATAATGTTGCCCTTACTTTCGTTTCTTGGCCCGCACTCTGAGTTTGTGGGTACGGTCCTCCGAAGCACGCTTGTTACCACTGGCTGCACGAATGCTGATCGATGCTGTCATCTAACAACTCATCAAACTCCTCGTCCGTGGGAACAGGGTGTTGCTCTCCCTTCGAAGCCCGGCCCCCCCCCCAATATCCCCACTGCCGCAAGGAGTGCGAGGCGAGCACATGGGGAGCAGTAGCAGCAATTTGGGATGTCCGAGCCTTGCACTGCTCCTCGATTTTCTGAAATTCCATGAGCAAGGGAGCGGCCACTAGCTGTTGCAAGCTGGGCAAATACTTGAAGTCGTCGCCGTCCAAGACGGCAGAAGGTGTAGATGGTGGCGGAAGCACTTGTGACACGGTCGCCTGCAGTTCCAATTTGATGGCCTCGATCTCCACGCGCAACAGTCGGGCCTGCTCGCACATGTCCTCCAGTTCTTTGGTTGACGCCTCAATGCAACCCGTCTGAACCTTGGTGCCATCCCTGATGCGTTCCAACTTGTCACTGGAACGCTGCAGCTGTTGTCCCGAAGCCATGTGGCGCGACAATGAGGTTTTAATGCTGTTGAACCCCTTCCGGATATCAGCCAGCACCTTCTCCATGGCAGGCTTGACGGTGGACGGGAAGTGGTCATCGCTGCAAGCACCTTCGGGCGAAGACTCGAGGGACTTGCTCTTCGCAAGGAGGACGCGTCCAGCTTCATTACCCACTGGTTCAGCACGCCCGTCTGTTGCATCTGGAGAGGCTGCACCGGCTGGCTGGCGACCTCCGGCGCTGCCAGCTGCTTGGCAAATGTACCCATCTGCTGTTGCAGCTGGCAAGGCTGGCGCACCACAGACACGCGCAGAGGCACTTGATTCGGCTGGCAAAATTGGAATTGCGGCCACACGGAGAACATCCCAACATCGGCTACGTGGGGCCTGGAAGGACATCAGGTTCGGGCACCACGTGGCAGGCACGGTGCCGAAAGCGGACGTGCTCTTGTAGAAGCTCGCTGAACGCACGAGTGGGATCCCTCAAAGTGAAACACCGAGCCAGATGGACCGCAACAACGATTACCGCTCTGAAGACGGACACCACTTGCAAGCGCAGGCGGAAATGCCTGAACGGCTGACGGGAGGAGAGGCAACCAGGGGAGGAGAGGAGGGAGGGGAGACGCAGCGGTCTCGGAGCAGACCCGCGGCCGAGCAAGCTTGTGCCCACCCTGCCCACCGACGGTCCCGGCGACAACGACGGCGGTTGACACTGTGACGACGATGATGACGACGAAGTCTTCCTTTCGGAAGCCTCTCGGCATTCCTGCAGTTTCTCGTTGGCCTGGAAACTTGGCCCGGAAAGAATCTGGGACGGGCCCGGAAATCTCGCCTGAGCAAATTCAAGCAATACCGCGGCAGCCTCGACCTGGGAAGCGGCGGCGACGTAGACTAGAGGACAGAAGATCCACCCCCACAGTAACCACCCCGACACGCGAGGCCCTCGGCAAACGCGCCCAAAGGGGATCGAACAGGGCAGGGCTGTTCCGTAAACGCCCAGGGCCGTTTAGTAAACCCCAACTGTCTGGTCCGGGTGGCCTTCCCTCCCTTGCCATTGATATTGAGGGATGAAAAAACGACCCTACCCTGGGTTACAAGTGCTTGGTCTGTGAACCTCCTGGGAACCCCCAAAGCCTAGAGCCGCCAGGACGCGGCACATCACGCAGGGTTTACCCTGTCAGCCCACAGGAGTCTCAGCGCACGGCGCCTCGTAAACCAGGGTAGGGTTTTTTTTTTTATGCCCTGGATCATAGACGGAGCCGACGTCGGCGCACGACGGCGGACCACGGCGGCGGCGGCGACCGCGGCGGCCAGCTGTGGCGTCGGCGGGCCCGAGCGACAGGATCGGCCAGGCGTGCTGCTGGATGACGGTCGGCGCCGCGAACCCCGCCGCCACCAGCGGCTGGCGCACCCGCGGCGGGAAGGGGACGTCCTCGAGGGGAGGGCGGGGGGGTCGAGGGGGGGGGGGGGCGAAGCCCGAGCGTGGAGCCGCCCGTGCCCGATGCTTTGCCATCCACGCCTGGGACCCGCCCCCCCCCGCCTCCCCTCCTGGTCGCGCAGCTCCTCCTCCTCCTCCTCCTCCTCCTCCTCCTCCTCCTCCTCCTCCTCCTCCTCCTCCTCCTCCTCCTCCTCCTCCTCCTCCTCCTCCCTTCTGGCAATCCGCCCTTCGCAGGCCTTCCCGCGGACCCGCGTCTCCGCCGCGGCCCCGCCCGCTGTGTCGCCAGGGGGCGAGCCAACACCGCGTCGAGGCCCGAGCGCATCCGAGCACGGAGGCCCGAGAGCGCGGAGGCCCGAGCGCGGAGAACCCCCCACTGCGGAGGCCCCAGCTCGACGCGCGGGCGCGGGCGCGACGCCGACGGGCGGGCCCGCGCCCGGGCCCAGAAGAGGCGCGGGGAGGGGGGCCAGCCATGCCTGGAGGCCCGATGCCGTCGCATTCTCGGGGGCGGCCAAAGAGGGGGGGGGGCGTGCAAGAAGAGGGGGTTGCAAGTCATGGCCAGCGGCACGTGCGCGGCCCGGGGGGGGGGGGGGCAGGGACGCAATGAAATGAGAAGAGGCGCCACGCAATATGTGGAAATATCATGGCCCGCGCCATGATATCCACACACATACACACTCCTAGTCATCACCCCTCTCTTTGCCGCCCCCGAGAGTCGGGGGTGGCCAGATGTGCCCGGGGACCGAGGTGCCCCCAGGATGTCCTAAGAGGCCCCAGCGGCCTCCAGAGCACCCCCATCGCGGGCCCCAGGGGCTCCAAAATGGAACGAAAAGCTGGGGACACCTTGGGCTCCCAGAAGTCCAGACCCTTCCCCGAAGGGGGCGACTTTGCGTTCTGAGCCATTCGTCGACGGCCGCGGGGCTCACAGAGGCAGAAGAAGGCGAAACCAACAATGTGTTACGGCAGCGCATGCAGGGGGGCGGCGCGAGGGGGATGGGCTACTCACGTGGCAGCGAGGCTTCAACAAAAAGCAAGGGTGGCCTCATAGAAGCCCGACCAGTTTCCGAGAAGCCTTCTTGGAAGCCCCCCGGGCCGTTCTGAGAAGGCCCCTGCCTTCTTTGCACCCCTGCCGCCATCCTAGAAGGCCACCCCCTCGCGCCACGCCCGAAAATACCTGGCGTCGCCAAAACTGCGTGCTGCACCGACCTCCGAAACGCACGGCGACCCCCCAAACGCAAGGTCTCCTCTGGCACGCTGTTGAAGGGGAACTGGGGCACACAAACAAATACACACAGATAAAACCACCCCCCATCTTTCCTCATGTTTTCTGTGTTTTTGTCCTCCCCCCACTTCCCATATTTTCCCATATTTTCTTGGAATCGCCGATTAATTGTGTCTGTGTGTGTGTGTTTATTTCCCCTCCTGAGCTGTCCGTGTGGGGCGGACCCCCCGCGAGGGCCTCCTGTGCACGCCGTCCCCCTGCCGGGGGGCTTCCGCAGCGCGCGCGGCCCTCCGGGGCGTGCGGCTGTGCAGCACCTGCAGGGGCCCAGGGACACGCAAATAAACACACACACACACAAATAACAGATCAAGGGGCCCCAGGACACACAAATAAATACACACAAATAAAATAATTCCCCATATTTTCACATATTTTCTGGGTTTTTGTCTTCCCGCCCACTTCCCATATTTTCCTATATTTTCTGGGAATCGCCGATTAATTGTGTCTGTGTGTTTCTTTCCCTCCTGAACAGAGGCCTCCTAGGTGGGGTCGGAGTAGATGGGGTCGGAGGATCGCGCCGCATCGCCGATGCATCGGCGATGCATCGGCGATGTATCGGCGATGCACCGGCAATGCATCGGCGACGTCGGCGATGCATCGGCGACGTCCGCGTGGGGAAGCACGGGCTCCGCATCGAGCCGCATCGCCGATGCATCGGCGATGCGGCGCGATCCTCCGACCCCATCTACTCCGACCCGATCTAGGAGGCCTAGAAATAAAAAGATCCCCCCTCTTTCCCAATAGTTTCTGGGTGCTCGTCTTCCCCACCACTCCCCCTATGTTCCCATCTCTTCTGGCGAGCCGACGATTCATTGTGTCTCTGTGTTTTTTCCCCTCCTGAGATTGGTGATCATGCACGGGCCAGCGGCGCCCCATCGCACGCCACCTCTGCAGCGCCGAGTCTGCGCTGGAGACCTCGGGAGGCCGGGGCCAGCCAACGCCGCGCCGGCCACCCGATGTTGCGGCTGCCGCGCGGCTGCCAGACTGAAGTCGGGCGTATCCCCCTACAGGGAGATTTTCGACGAGAAAAAGAAAAATACTCAGAACATACTCCAAAACGAAAAAAAATGCTAAAATAATAGTTCCCGTGCTATTTTTTAGGGACAGGCCCGACTTAATACCAGACCGAATCCAGGGCATCCTGGCGGCGGGGGCTGGGACGCGGAAAGCGCCGGCGGGCGGGAACCGCCGCCCGCGCAAGGGCGGCGCGCCGCCCCCATCCTCCTCCGTGTCCCTCTTCCTGCCCCCTCTCATCCCCCGTCCGATCCTGCTCCTCCTGCTGCTTCTCTTCCTCCCCCCCCCGCTCCCCCTCCTCTTCCACCTCCTCCTCCTCATCCTCCTCCTCCTCCTCCTCGTCCTCGTCCTTGCCCTCCTCCTGCTCCTCCCTCCTCCTCCTGCTCCTCCCGCTCCACCTGCTCCTCTGCTCTCCTCCTCCTCCTCCTCCTCCTCCTCTCTCCTCCTCCTCCTCCTCATCCCCTCCTCCTCCTCTTCCTCCTCCTCCTCCTCCTCCTCCTCCTCCTCCTCCTCCTCCCCCATCGTCCTCCTCCTCGTCCTTCTGTTCTCACTTCCTCTCCTCCTTCCTTGCTCATCCCCTCCGCTTCCCCGTGCCGTAACCCTCCTGCTCGTCCTCTTCCGAAGACGAGAATGGAAGTGTACGCAACGGAACTTCAGCATCCACTCGAATGCAGCCCACATGCACCGCCAGAGGCGGGCGAGCCCTCTGGTGGGTGATTATGTCTTCAACGGCTGCACAACGGGAAACCAGCCAGCAGAGACCCCAAGCCAGGCCCTCATACGAGACCGATGTTGCATCACAGCAGCAATTCGGCCCCTGACTTTCGTCCTGGGTTCGATTTAGTGAAGTGATGAATTTCGGGGTCCTTACGTAGGAAAAAAAACATCACTTCACTAATCTGGGGCCCCTGGGGCCTCAGTGGGCCCAGGGGCTCAAAATTAGTGAAGTGATGGTTTTCGGGCCTCGGAGCTCACGCAACTGCACTGCGACGAGGGCGACCACGGCACAGGCACAGCAGAGAGCACACTCCCCTGACCAGCTGGCGAGCGCGAAAGAAAAAGCAAACTGGTCGGGCGCCCGCAGCGAAGGACAGCAACTGCAACCCGGGTGCGACGGGGGCCCTCGGCGAGAGCGCCGCTGCGGAGTGGGTACACCCTGCGAAATGCTTAAGAAATCATGGGTTAAGAAATTCATAGTCTCAGAACTTGAATAAAATCCCAAAAAATCCATTCAAATCTTAAGATTTACATTGAAACATTAAGAATAATCGGTACTCTGGCCGAACATTTAAATGTTCTTAAGCATCGGCTAAGGTGTACGTAACGGGAGGGTCTGTGATGGGGGAGGGAAGCCAGGTAGAACTGGAAGAGGGGGGAGGATGGCATTGACAAGCTGACGAAACGAACACCGAGGACGGTAGCAACAGCGGTGATCTCGCGCGGTGAGGGAGTCCCCGGCCGCGGATGCCGCACTATGGTGGTGGCGATGCAGATGATCGTGGCGCTCATCGTAATGAGCATGAGGGATGAGGAGGACGAGGACGTGATGGGGAGCAGCAAGGCGGGAGGGAAACGGGGCGAGGGGGAGGAGGCGATTGAAGCGGACGGTGCGGGGTCATGGGAGGAGCGAGGAGGAAGCGTGAAGAGGACGAGGGCCTCCTACTAGGTCCTATTCCTCTCCCCTCCGCCTCTACCTCCATCTGTTCTGTCCCCGCCCCCCTCCTCCTCCTCCTCCTCCTCCTCCTCCTCCTCCTCCTCCTCCTCCTCCTCCTCCTCCTCCTCCTCCTCCTCCATCTCCTCCTCCTCCTCCTCCTCCTCCGCCTCCTCCTCAAGCCATGCTGCAGTACGGCCGCAATCAGCACACCACGTGGCCGCAGGCAGTGCCTTCACCAGGAGCGTGCGGGATTCCGCTGCAGCGGTAGGCACCTGCGCCCGCCTTCCGAGCCGCGCTCACCGCGGAGGAACCGCTCGCCGCGGCGCGAGCGCGCGTGGGGCTCGGCCGGGGCCCTCGGTGCTCGGCGAGGGCCTCCGTGGTACCCAGCGGGTGGGAACACTCCAAAAGAATCCTCGATCCTCGTCCTCGTCCTCGTCCGCATCCTCGTCCGCATCCTCCCACCTTCACCTCCCTCCCCCTTGGCCAAGCGCCGGAAAGCATAGATGATCGATCGTCGATCCTCGTCATCTTCGTCCTTCTCCTCCTCCTCCGTCCTGGCTCCTTCCTTCCCACCGTCCCCCCTCTTCCCCTCCCACTCCACGACCTCCCCCCCCATCCCCACTTGCCCACCTTCTTCCCTCCTCCCCATCCTCCCCTACCCCCCCCTCGCTCCTCGCTTCCTCAGATCCATGATCCGCATCCCTCCATCACTGAAGGTCCGCTACTGCACGCGTGTCTGCGGACAGAGAAAACTCAGTACAGCGGAAAGGCCAAAGGCACGGGCGGGAAGGGTAGGATGTCCGATATGGCGCGAGCGCACCCCGCACCCTAATAACATCCGATGTCCTGAGTTCGTCAACATCGGGCACCTGGACACCCCAACCTCTTTCCGCAGGACCGGCTCTGCATCCTGAACCCTCTCTTGGCGGCTGGGGCCCGCCGAGGGCCCCAAAAAGAGGCAGGAGGATACGGAACACCTCCAGGCAGATGGTTCGGCTCCCCTGGCGAAGCGGAAGGCCTCCGTGCAGAAGGCTTCAACGTGTCGGAGGCCTGGCCCCCCCCCCCGCCCTGGGGCTGCTCGGGGTGCCTCTTGGGGGCCCCTCGATGCTTCTTTGGGGCCTCCTGGGGGCCTCTTGGGGGCCTCTTGGGGGCCTCTTGGGGCCTCATGGGGGCCTCCTGGGGGCCTCCTGGGGGCCTCTTGGGGCTGAAGGCTGGACGTTTCGGTTCCTGGTCCCCTTCTCGGGCCCTTCTTGGGGCCGTTTTGGGGCCGTGTTGGGCCGTTTTGGGCGCCTCTTGGGCCGTCTTGGGGCCATCTTGGGCCGTCTTGTGGCCCTCTTGGAGACTTCTTGAGCTGTCTGGGTGCAGTCTTCAGGGCCTCTCGGGCCGTTTTGGAGCGTTGGAAAGCCGAAAAGGCGAGAAGGCCAACACCTGTCAAAAATCATAAACAAAATTGACGATGTTGGCCCCTCGGGGCCCTCTTGGGGCTCTCTTGGTGGCCTCTTCGGGAATCTTGTACGCGTCGTGGGCTGTCTGGAAGCCATCGTGGGTGTCTCGGACCGATCGTTCGACGACTCGGAGCCTCTTCGGCCGTGTGGGGGGGTCCCCGCGCCCTCTTGGCGCGCTCCTGGAGCGCCCTGGGGGAGTCAGCTGGGCATCGGCCGGGGCACTGTTCGTCCAGGGTCCCTCAGGGGCCGCCACACGCGCGCGAACTAGAAATACTGTTCACCCCTTTGGACGCCCGAAATAGGTACGGGAAAAATGGGTACAATGCCCAACAACAAATGTTGTCCCAAACCATCAGCGGTCGCTGTTGGGCAGACGGCCTTCTGCCTCGAATGGACACGGGCCGCGGCGGCGTGGACAGCGAGTCCTGTTCAAAATGAACAGGAACTGCTGTTGGGCATTGTACCCATTCTTTCCGTACCCATCTCGTTCGTGCCGAACTTCTTACCGGAGATCTCAGCACGCCTCTCGCCCGTTGGGCCGGAAAATTTCCGTACCCACCAGCTCACGCGTACGCCCGGTGGCGCCCCAGGCTGAGGCCCTCTCCTCCTCCTCCTCCTCCTCCGCCTCCTCCTCCTCCTCCTCCTCCTCCTCCTCCTCCTCCTCCTCCTCCTCCTCCTCCTCCTCCTCCTCCTCCTCCTCCCCCTCCTCCTCCTCCTCCTCCTCCTCCCTCCCCCTCCCCCTCCCCCTCCTCCTCCTCCTCCTCCTCCTCCTCCTCCTCCTCCTTCTCCTCCTCCTCCCCTCCTCCTCCTCCCCCTCTCTCCTCCCCCTCCTCCCCCTCCTCCCCTTCCCCCTCCTCTTCCCCTCCGCCCGGCCGCAGGCCGCCGCCCCGTCTCTCTCCGGGCGGGCGCGGTCCTCCCAGGCGAGCCACGGGCCGGGCAGCGCGCCGGTGCCCTGCACCTCGACCTGCCGCGGCCGCAGCCGGGCCGCCTCCGCCTCCGCCGCCGCCTCCGCCTCCGCCTCCGCCCCGCCTCCTCCTCCTCCTCCTCCTCCTCCTCCTCCTCCTCCTCCTCCTCCTCCTCCTCCTCCTCAGACTCTCCTCCTCCTCCTCCTCCTCCTCCTCCTCCTCCTCCTCCTCCTGATGCTCCTCCTCCTCCTCCTCCTCCTCCTCCTCCTCCTCCTCCCCCTCCTCCTCCTCCTCCTCCGGGGGGGTGCAAGCTGGGGGATGGAGGGGGGGTTCGAGGAGGAGGAGGAAGAGGAGTTGATGTGGACGCGGGTTGACGTCGAGCCCGAGCTCCGTGGAGAGACAGCCGCAGGGCGACGATGGGGGACCGAATGGGGGTCCGAGACACGAGCGAGGCGAGGGCTAGAAAGCATCCGAACGGCAGGGGAGGAGGAGGAGGAGGAGGAGGAGGAGGAGGAGGAGGAGGAGGAGGAGGAGGAGGAGGAGGAGGAGGAGGAGGAGGAGGGGAGGAGGAGGAGGAGGAGGGGGAAGAGGAGGAGGAGGAGGAGGAGGAGGAGGACGAGGAGGACGAGGAGGAGAAGGAGGGAGGGGGGATTGAGAAGGGGGGACTGGGGGCGGCAGCAAGTGTTGGCGAAGAGAGTTGGGGTTTTGGGAGAGAAGCTGGGAGAAGGTGGGTGGGCAGTGGAGGTGACAAGGAGGGTGGAGAGGAGGTACGAGGGAGAAAAGGACGCTGTGAGGCTTCCTCCCTCGTAAAAGACGAACGGTATCAAAGCCTCGGGAAATATTTCGACGTTTCAACACGTGTTCAGGCAAATAGAAATATGCTTGCAGGCCACTCACAAAAGGAATCACAACGTACAACAATGCGCCCACAACGAGACATCTACACGCACCCCGGAAACAGGGGGCAAACGAACCTACCTCGCTTTTGATCACCCTCGCTTCCAAGAGCTACCAAGCGATGCCAAACTACGGCCCGCACTGGCCAGGCAGCTCGACGGGGAGTCGCGTGGTATGACTTGGTTTTGCCTGGAAGCGAAAGCGGGGTAGGCAATTCACGCTCTGAGAAAAGGCGGCCAAGCTCCTCCTTCCAAAGAGACACTTGGAGAGATCACAGCGCACCTCGCCAACAGGACCCATGATTATGTCGGGCGTGTCCCCCTACAGGGGGATTGTCGAGGAAAAAAAAGAAATACTCAAAACAAAACCCCCCAAAGGCCAAGCATACTCAAAAAATAGTCCCCAGACTATGTTTGGATAGTTTTTTTAATTTGTTTGGGGGGTATTGTTTTACTTTTTCGTCGAAAATCCCCCTGTAGGGGGACAGGCCCGACCTAAACCCATGGCGGCACAGCACCAACGTGCACGACCGCGGCGCCGTGGCCACGGCGGGCCCTCGCCCACGGGGCGGCTTCTCAAGGCCCAAATGCACACAAATAACAGGATTCTCACTATTGTCCTATACTGTCTGGGTTTTTGTGTCCCCGCGACTTCCCATATTTTCCCATATTCTCCTGGAAGTCGACGATGAATTGTGTCTGCGTGTTTTTTCCTCTCCTAAGAGGAGCGGCCCCAACCAAAACGACCACGGGCCCCCCTCCGAGGCCACGCGGGGCCGTGCCTCGGCGCCTTGGCTGCAAGTAGCTCCACCCTCCCTCCGAAGAGGCTGCAAGTAGCGCCTTGGCTGCAAGCAGCACCTTGGCTGCAAGCAGCTCCTTAAGGCCCAGCTCTCCGACGAGCGGCCCAAACAGAAACGACCACGGGCCCCCCTCCGAAGCCACGCGGGTCCGTGCCTCGGCGCCTTGGCTGCAAGTAGCTCCGCCCTCCCTGCGCCTCGGCTCCGCCCTCCGCTGCCGGTTGCGTGTTCCTCTCCGGGGACCAGGGGGGGGGTGAGAACAGCGTAGCCCTCCTCCGATCCATGCAGCCGCCGCCTCGTCGCCGCCGCCCCGTCGCCGACGCCGCCGCCAGTGTCGTCATCGATGTCGTCGTCGTCGTCGTCGTCGTCGTCGTCGTCGTCGTCGTCGTCGTCGTCGTCGTCGCCGTCGCCGCCGCCGCCGCCGCCGCCGCCGCCGTCGCCGTCGCCGTCGCCGTCGCCGTCGCCGTCGCCGTCGCCGTCGCCGTCGCCGTCGCCGTCGCCGTCGCCGTCGCCGTCGCCGCCGTCGCCGTCGCCGTCGTCGCCGTCGCCGTCGAGGGTGGAGGTTCGAGGAGAGTTGCTCAACGGACGCGTTCGGCTCCTGGGTTTCTGGTGTCCGCTGGCGGGAGGGCGCGCGTTCCGCCCAAGGAGGGCGCTCTCGTGGCGAGCCCACGGCCGCAGCTCGACGCAAAGAACCGCTCGCCGCCGCTGCGAGGGGCACCCAGCTGGTGCCCGAGCCACTGCGAGGGGCAACGACAGGGGGGGACTGGCATAGGGGGGAAGGCATCGACCCAGGATCGGCGACACTAGGGGGGAAACAAACCTACCTCGCTTTTGACCACCCTCGCTTTCAAGAGATACCAAGCGATGCCAAACTACGGCCCGTACTGGTCAGGTCGCTTGACGAGGAGGCGCGTGGTATGACTTGGTTTTTCCTGGAAGCGAAAGCGGGGTAGGTAATTCACGCTCTGAGACACATCGCCGACAGATCGGCGATAGGGCCCCGATGGTGAATCCGCACCTGCCTGGGCAGGTTGGGGCTGTCGCGCCCCCATCGGCGATCCATGGGCGGCTGGGGGTCGATGCGTCCCCCCCTCCTAATTATGCCCATCCCTCCCCCATGACCGCTGCCCCTGACAGTGGGGTCGGAAAAGCGCACCACGTTGCCCATGCCTCGCGGCTGTGGCGACGACGGCAGCGCCGACGGTGGCTGGCGACGCCGCCACCACCGCCAGCACCGCCGCCGCCGCCGAGGTCGTCGTCGTCGCCGCCGCCGTCGAGAGCCTCCCCGGGCACCCCGCCGCGGCCCGCCTTGGGGGCGACGCCGGCGGCGGAGGCGGCGGCGGGGCTCGCTGCGGGGGCGGGCGCCGTCGAGCCTGGCGGGCGTCAACGTCGTCTCGAGCGTGGCCACTGCTCGAGGCCTGCGCGATCAGCTTCGCGCCGTCGCGAGCCCACCTCAGGGAAGGGCAGATCTCTGGCAGATGCAGGCCCCGCGATGCGCGATACTCTCCGCGCACCTCGGGGTGACCTACGTAGCCTGCTCAGGCCGCAACGTTGCGGGCTGAGCAGGCTGGGCTGAGTTGCACCGATTGCTTGCGCAACTCAGATTGTGAAGCAGAGCGCCGAAGTGATGAGTGATGGGGAATCCCGCTGTCCCTTCTCAAGTGTCCTCGTCATCGCCGCCCCGCCTCCTCCCACCCGAACGGGGCCTCGCGCGAGGAGGGCTCGGGTACGCATGTGATGTGTGAGCTGCGTAATATGATTGATAATCGAAGAGTTATTTGACCTCCAGAGGCTTCCCCTCCTCTCCCCATCCTCCCTCGTCCTCCTCCTGTCCCAGACTCCACCTCCAGCTCCTGAGGCCCATCCGCGTCTCCGAATCCTCCCTCGTGCTCCTCCCACCCGCCCTCCCAACTCCTCCCGCCCACATGCTCCACCCTCCCACCCCCCGCCTCCCGCGTCCTACTTGGAGGGGGGAGGGGTACGAGACGGGCATGGAGGCGACGAGAGGAGAACCAGGGGGAGGCATGAGGAGGACGACGTTGACGACGACAAGGACGAAGAGGGATAGGGAGACGAGGTGGGAGAAGAGAGGACGAAGGGGAGAACGCAGGCAGCATGAAGGGGGAGAGGGAGGTGAGGGGCTGAGGATGACGAAGACGAAGGAGGATGGACCACCACGAGCGAGCGGGACAAGGGGGGGCGACCTGGAGGACGAGAAAGAAGGAGAGACGGTCGGGGATCTATAAACCAGGGCCAATCCAGACCCGGGTCAGTCAGGCCTTGCAGGATCCTGCAACATCCTGAAGGATCCTGCAGGATCCTGCACCCAAGCCCGGGTCAATGCAGCCCTGGCGCTGCAGGATCCTGCAAGATCGGGCGCTCTGGCTGACCCCCGTTTGCATTGACCCCCGTCTCTTGAGCGTTGAAGACAGGGGGGGGGAAGCGTTCCGGGGGGGGAGGGTTTGGGTTTCTTGCGAGGGAACTGAGGACAAGGTGCCTCATGCAATCTGCCCGCGCGCACAAGGAGGGAGGGGAAGGTTGGAAGGCTTCTTAGAGGCAGGCTGCTTCTTAGAAGGCGCCGGCCTTTACCTGCAGACAAGACCCTCGCCTTCTGAGGAGCAGGGGTGCTTCAAAGAAACCTTCGTCCCGGGGGGGGGGAGCGTCCCGGGGGGGGGAGAAGCGTCCCCAGGAGGAGGAGGAGAGGAGGAGGAGGAGGAGGAGGAGGAGGAGGAGGGAGGGAGGAGAGAGGAGTAGGGGAGAGTGAGGAGGAGGAGGAGGAGGCGGAGGAGGAGGAGGAGGAGGAGGAGGAGGAGGAGGAGGAGGAGGAGGGAGGAGGGGAAGGAGGAGGAGGAGGAGGAGGAGGAGGAGGAGGAGGAGGAGGGAGGAGGGAGGAGGAGGAGGAGGAGGAGGAGGAGGAGGAGGAGGCGGAGGAAGAGGAGGAGGAGGAGGGGGAGGGGGGCACGGCGCCGCCTCCCGCCGCCGCGGCTGCGGGCGTTGGCGACAACAGCCCCGCACCGCCTGCTGCCGCGGCGGAGCCCGAGGACGAGCCCCAGCAGCCGCCGCCGGGGCCGCTGGCCGGGGGAGGCGACGCCAGCGGCAACGGCGCCGACGACCACGGCGACTCGGACCACGACGGCGGCGGCTGCGGCGACGACGACCACGACGGCGGCGACCGCGACGACGGCGGCGCTGACGATGACGGCGGCGGCGACGGCGACGACTACGGAGCCACGACGGTGGCAGCGACGACTGCGGAAGGACGGTGGCGGCGGCAGCGACGGCGGCGGCGACGGCGACAGCGGCGGCGACGACGACGATGACGAGCACGCCGAAGGCAACCACGACCGCACCGACAGAGCGATGACGACGGCGGCAACGGAGATGACGACGAATGCGGCGACGACGCCAACGATGCGATAACTCTCTGTGCCGAGTGAGATGCGTTATGACCTCGACACGCCCTTTTTCGGGGGATCTTCTAACCCGTGTCAATCAGAGCCGGGTCAGCAAGAAACCCAAAAAACTGCAATGCAGGGACAAAAAACTGCAGCGCAAGGCTTCGCAAACCTGGGTCAACCAATAGGCGCGGCCACCTCGCGGCCACGAGCGGCTCGCTAACCCGGGTCAGCCAGAGGGGGTCTTCGCAGGATCCTGCAGGATCCGGTGCCCTGGCTGACCCCCGTTTGCAGTGACCCCCGTCTCAAGGCTCTCGACTTTTGCTCCTTCCGCACCAGGGAAGGATCGGACCAGAGTCGAAAGACAGGTCAATTCGGGCGGAAACTTGCTGGGGCGATCGGATCGGGTCGAGTCTGGCGGTCATCGCAAACGTTGACGCGCCCGCTTCTGCCGCAAGCTTGCGGCCGTCCTCGCTGCCCCTGGCAGCGGCGCCCGCGTCGCCGCCTCGCAATCATCCTCGTCGACGTTCACGTCGTTGTCGTCGTCTACGTCGTCGTCGTCGTCGTCGCTGTTGAAACGACGACACCATCGACAATGCCGACCAGAACGTCGGCGGCGGCAACGTCCACGTCGGCGTCGGCGTCGGCGTAGGACAGCGAACGTCGTCGTTGTCGGCGGCGGCGGAGGCAGCGGTGGCACCAGACGTCCGACGATGTATTTTTCAATACGCGGCACCCAGGAAGTCCTGGCCTAAGACGAAGCCAGGACGAGGACAACCTCGTGTGAGGATACATCGAAAAAAACTTTGTGATCTGGCGGCTCTGGAGGATGTCTCGGGCGCTGCGTCCTTCTCAGAGCGTGCTGGAACGCAATTAGAGCGTTCCTAAGCGCTCTGGAACAGATTTATCCCCGTCCTGGCCCCGTCCGACGACCCCCACCCTGGGGGTAGGTTTCCGTCCAGGGTCGATCTCTTAGGGTCAAGTTGGGCGTGTCCCCCCACAGGGGGATTCTCGACGAAAAATAAACAACACCCCAAACATACTCCAAAATGGTCAAACAAATCCTAGAAAAATAGTCCCCAGGCTATCTTTTAACCACTTTCGACGACAAATTCGCCGGCCCAACGGGCCAGAGGCGTGCTAAGATCTCCGGTAACTTGTTAAGAATATTTCTAGTTCGCGCGCGCGCGGAGCGGCCCCTGGGGGCCCCCGGACGAAAAGTACCCCGGCAAGGTCCCGAGAGAAGCCCAGGAGAAGCCCCCAGACCACTCCAGGGGAGGGTATTTTTCGACACCCCTCACGAGGATCGTGGCCTCCGAGGGGGGAGCCGCAATCGACTACCCCCAAGAGCCCCCCAAGAGGCCCTGGGGGCCTCCAAAACGCCGCGAAGGAGCCCCAAGAGACTCCCAAGAGGTCCCCAAGAGGCCCCCAAGAGGCCCTAAAGAGGGCTCCAGGGCCGGCGGCATGAGCGAAGCGATTATAAAGAATACCCCCAAAATACTCCCAAATGGTCAAACAAATACTAGAAAAATAGTCCCCAGACTATCTTTTGACTACTTTTTGCATACTCCCCCTGCAGAGGGGCAGGCCCTCAGGGGCAGCTCTCCGCCCCGGGCCGACGTCTCGGAGCCCCTGGGGGCCCACCCACACGGGCCCCATGTGGAGGCCGAGAATCGGGGGACAGACCCCAGGCCTGCCCCCCAGGGCCCTTCCCTGAAGTCGGGCCTGTCCCCCTACAGGAGGATCTTCGACGGTAAATTAAAAGGTCAACACGTACTAAACACGTACTCCAAAAAGGTCAACACGTAAAGGTCAACAAAAAAGGTCAACACGTACTAAACACACCAACGGTAATGCACCAAAAAAGTCAACACGTACTAAACACATGATGCACCCGCGAACCCGGGCAGGGATACAGAACCGCACGCATGGAAACCGTGCTCAAGACACCGTACTGGGCGACGGGCACTTCCGCGAGGCACCCCGCGAGACACTCCACGAGACACGGGCGACCGTTTTCAACGTGTTCCTGGAAACCCTCCACGAGACACCCCGCGAAACAGTTCACGAAAGACACCCCACGAAACATTCCACGACGACAGGCAACCACTCAACCAAGGCGGTGTGGTCGTCGAAGGTTAGATCTGGGATCGGATGTCACAGACAAAATCCCCTTGATTGAGCAGGGACCGACCGTCCCAGCATTTCGATAGGCCTACCACGAAATGTTATTAGAACCCGAAAATGTTCGAATAACAAAAACAATGTTCGTAGAACATAAGCCCGATGCGATAAAACAAGACGGACTCCGCCAGAAATGTTCTGAGAACACTTCGTGGAAGCCACAAAAGGCTCTTCGAACATTGCTTGGTAGGGCTATTGGCGAGCCAGGACGCTTCGCAACTCCTTGACTTGACCTCTCTTGAGGTGCACTCTGACCAGGACTTGAGGCGGATCCAAACGTGGCCACGAGAAGCCTCCTGGAGGCCCAACAAAAACAGAGGAGCTCGGTCCTCGAATTTCTGGTAATCCTCGAACCTGGGTCGTCTGGGGATCCGCGACGGCGTCGATGGCCGATCGTCTACGGCGCCGGCTCTCGCCGGGCTGGAGGTGCAAGATCGATCCACATCGAATCGGGACGTTGCATCGGAACGGAATGTGCGCCAGATCGGACCGCATCGGCACGGAGCCGACATCGAATCGGCAGCATCTGGATGCGATGCAGCGCCATGTGGCCATCGGGCCGCTTCTAGAATCTAGGGCAACAATACATGACATAAACATAGACTTTTAGAGGTCCACGCGGATTCCCACCCCCCCGGGGCGGGCGCAATGCCGATCCGAGAAATCTGCGCGGACCCCTGACAGTTTACATCGATTCCTTGGGAAAAAAACGTCTGTGGGAAAAAAACAAACGAAAACACACACACACACAGTGTGTGTGTGTGTGTTGTTTGTTTGTGTGTGTGTGTTTCCCA